ACCGTAAGCATACACCAGAGCAACGGGGGGGGGGGGGCACCGGCACCGGCGATCAGCTGAGAGCAGCTGGGGAGGGGCGAGTGGGTTGAGATCTATTTGTTCAGACCGAGCTGATAATGACCATCGAACTCTTCATCAACCGACTCCGGCTGCTGCTGAAAGCCGAAAACGCAGCCGCTCAAGAATCAACCGTGCGCTCCCCTGGCGCTCCACTTACTACCGCACCGTACAGCCCCCGCACATCTGCAATGCTACATTTGAACTGTTCCGTTTCAGTCGTTCGAGGACCTGCGAGGTGTAGTAATCGCCATGGGCAGGAAGATCAAAATCTGCATAAAGTCACGCGAGAAATATCGAGCGTTTAAGGGCTTTCGTAAGCACCTGGCTTTCATACGTTCTTCACTGGTTGCACCCTCTACACGTTCGGTTTGATGCTCTTATGTATATCCGTTGATAATCTTGTTTCTTAGTGGAAATTGTGCTTGAGCATGTGGGAATCATGTCGTGCTGTCGGCCTACTACGGATATCGTGTTGCGGGCTGCGCGGAAGCTGACTGCTACTGCGTACAAGGTACTGGACAGTTCAATAGGGAGCTCCTTGTCGCAGTCAGAGGTGGATATACTTCTAAGGGACAATTTGAGGAGAGGGCGAATCCTGCAAGACATCGCGGGGAAGGGATCAATAACTCACGAGGAGTATCAAATCATCATCGATGTGCTCGGGCCTTCCGCGGCAGCGGCTAAGGTCCTGGACCTGGACGTCAACTCATCATCAGACTCCTCGTTGGACCAGTGGAGCCGGCAAAGGCCTATTCGGGCAAGACACTCTTGGTACAAAGCGCCACCCCCACCCCCTCCCCAAGAGTACACCAGTAAGGTCGCAGACACATGGGACATGGATGTCAAGGCAAGACGACGAAGATCCACCCGAAACAGCTCCGTCGATTCCAACTACATGGAACCGGAACTAGACAGAGAGTACGCGCGAACAATCCGTCCTGTTTACAAGCAGAGATACTCATATATATCGGAGCACTAAAATTCCTGGATTTTTTGCAACGAACAAACTTTTCACAAATGACTGATGTGGATATCACTGCAGAAATCAAGGACACAGATATGCCCGAAGAAATGCGCCACGCGACGGTTGAATTGTGCAAGGAAGCTGTCAGGACCAGGGAGGCTGAAGGCAAGATCGCTTCGTATATAAAAAATGGCATGGACAGCGCTTTCCCCGGAGTCAAGTGGCATTGCTTGGTTGGGAAAGCTTACTCCAGCTATTTCACTCACGACGAAGGCTCCTTTATAAATGTAGTGGTCGGAAAAGAAAACATCATTGTATTCAGGGCCTCTTAATCAGCGCGCACACGTGTGTGCAACGGTCACTAAAGCTCAATGCTGCAATTAATAATCATTTTGGTGCTGATTAAGAGTGTGCAGGCACAAGATCTCTTTGATCTGATCGATTATGACCCGAACATAGCGCTGGCTGCTGCCGGGATGGGACTAGGATTCTTTGGCGGATTAGGATTATATCTGATTCGACTTCGGGCTGCAGCTGAATTGAGGTACGGTGAAAAAAGGCGGACACGGTTTTTTTGGCAGCAATATATCGACTCAAACATCGGGTTCACATGAGAGCTTTTCAATCGATTTGACGACTGGCGATTCGTGTTTAATGGAGGATGTGATGATCTCTGTTGAATTTTTGCCCTCGTCGCCGTCGTCATCCTCGAACGGACAAAAGAATCAGCACAGCACACCAGAATGAAACACCAACACAAAGTTGTCAAAGGCGTTACGCAAAGGCAATCGCATTTTACTGAAAACGTATGCCAAACTTCGCACCCGCGGCAATTCAATGCGACGCTACTGTTTTGTTTTCTTGAAATCTAACCATGGTAAGTTCATTCAAATAAAAGAGGGTTCAAAAAGGGGTTTATGCTCTAGCGGCTTTGACGGCCTTGATGATGTCCACGAAGGCGGGCTTGAGAGAAGCGCCGCCCACGAGGAAGCCATCGATATCCTTCATCTGGATAAGTCCTTCACAATTGGCGTCAGACACAGAGCCTCCGTAAACTATGCGGACCTTGTCGGCGACCTCTTGCGAAACCTTCTTCGCGATATGGGCGCGGATGGCCTCATGGGCATCCTGAGCCTGTTGCTGGGAAGCCACTTTGCCAGTGCCGATGGCCCAGACAGGTTCGTATGCGATGACAACCTTGTTCCAGTCGGAGATAGCCTCGACGCAGGCGTCGATTTGGCGAGAGCAAACCTCGTTCGTCTTCTCGGCCTCTCTCTCCTCCAAGGTCTCGCCGATGCACAGGCACACTTCGATGCCGTGTTCAAGGGCAATCTTGGTCTTAACCGCGGTGTCCGCGTCCGTCTCGTGGTAGAGGGTTCTACGCTCAGAGTGGCCCACAAGCGTCCAGGGGACATTCATGTTTTTGAGCATCTCAGCGGACACCTCACCAGTGAACGCGCCGTTCTTGGTTTTGGATACATTCTGGGAACCAAGCTCGTACTGCTCGTTCAACGCCTGGCGAGCGGTTGAGTAATGGATGGCAGTGGGGAAGATAACAACGTCTGCAAAGAACATATTGCGTACACAACAGTGCCCACCACTCCGCGTGATAGCTGGGCGGCATCCCGTGCAATGAGGCTATCGCGGAGACCCTCAAGGAGAGACAACTTACTCAGCTTCTTCTTGTCGAATGACGTTCCGTTGAACACTTCACCCAAGGTCTTGATGGACTCGGTAGTGCCGTTGCACTTCCAGTTGCCGCCGACCCAAGCAGTTCTCGCCATAGTTGCTGATGTGATAAGTTGGATGTCTGGTTTAAAAAAATCTGTGTGAACCAGCGGCTGATTCGCACACATGGAGCTCGAGGTTCCTGTCCCCGGTAAGCTCATAGAGCAGACCCCCTACAGAGATTCAGCCAAGGATATCTTATCCAGAGTTCGCGAACTTTGCGGATGGGGACGGCCGACATTTCCGGGTTCGCAACCAGGTAAGGAGCAACAAAGGGGAAGCGAAGGGAAAGGACTCAGAACGTGGGCTCTGAGTGAGGACTCAGAACGTGGGCTCTGAGTGAGGACTCAGAACGTGGGCTGGGGGTGAGGAGGGTTCTTTTAGTGTCCTTGTCTATTACCAATATTCGACAGTTGGCTAATCATGCGTATGTGGCTTGCGAGAAGACTGATGGCGTGAGATATTTGTTGTATGCGGCATCTAGGTTGGTATTTCTGATTGACCGTAAAGAAACGAGTAAGTGGTGGTGAAATTGTTGAATGGTGTTTAGTTCAGGTGCTGAATTTGTCTTTACCTTTGCCTGGTTTGCCGGAGACGGAGGATGGGGAGTTGATCTGTCACCAGTCGACATTGTTGGATGGCGAGTTGGTGACGGATAAGTTGGTGGATGGGTCGACGAGGGTGTCATTTCTGATATATGATGCGGTGAGCATTAACCGAGATGCGACGATTGGCAAGCAAAATTTATTTGAGCGACTGAAGCAGGTATTATTGCAGGTTGTTCGTCCGCGGGTGGATATGGAGACTCAGAGGGCAGATCTGATTGATAAGGAGAAGGCGGCGAAGGATTACCTCCCAATTTACTTGAAGGATTTTTACGAGATTTGGGACATTTTGAGTATTAGGAATGCTTCTAAGAGGTTGCCCCATTTGAGCGACGGTATTATCTTTACCCCGGTAGCTGTGCCCTACGTGGCGGGTACTTGCAGACAGCTCATGAAGTGGAAGCCGCCGGAGTTGAACACCTTGGATTTCGCTTCGGAGCTTCTGTACTCACTGGACATCCATGGGAACCATATTCCGGTGGCTGCGAAACTGTTAATTGGTAGTAAGGGGTTCCGGCGGGACAGCGGCTGTTGGATGGTTTTGAATAAAGGCCATTGGGGTGAGATGTTGAAGCGTCACGAGGAGTACCAGGATTGCGACGGTGCTATATGGGAGTGCTATTTCGACCCGAAGGCGACGACCTTAATTCCGGCGCAGTGCGAAAACGCCTTGGAGGTGGCCCAGAAATTGGAACAGTGGACGGCCTTCTGGAAGAAGGAGACGGTGGAGACCGCCGCTGCCGCCGGTCCTGCAACTGGGCCGGCGGGTGGCGGCTTGGACGCTACGGCGGGAAAGAAGCACGGACCATCCGACGCGCTCAAGAGCCGGGTGAAGCGGTTGAGGAAGCAGCAAACGCTGTACGACGACATCATGATTGCCGAAGACATGGCTGTGAGCAACGGCTTTCCGGAGCACGCCTGTCCCTACGCTAGAGTGGGCACCTCAGGCAACAACTACTTCGATTTTAACCAAGCCATCACCGTCGAAGGGGGGTGGGTCTTGGAAAGGATCCGTACAGACAAGCTGACACCCAACGATGAACGTGTCATGGTTCGGGTGAAAGAGTCTATCGACTCTGGTATCAGTTTTGTTGCACTCTTCGACTTGATCCTGAGCTATCGAACGGCAGGGGCTAGTCCCTGCTGCTGCTCACTCCAACTGCCCGACTACTATAGCACTCATGGGACCAGACTCCAACACAGCGGCACCGCTGCCCACGAAGAACAGCAAGCCCAACTCCTCAAAGACCTTCAAGAACCTGCGACCGAGACCACCGCCCCCGCCGCCGGGAAGCTGTCCCGGGACATCAAAATGGCCGTCGAAGAGGAGCCACCCAAGGAGAAAACTCTCCAGAGACAGAGCAGCTCCGATAGCAGCTCCTCCAGCATGTCCAGGATGATCAGCGAATCAGACGACAGCGATTCCGTCTGAGTTTTTTGTGTATAGGAGTCGCCCTGCAAGCGGCAACGCCGCAGAAATGAATACTGCGGGATGGGTGCCACGGAATTGAAAACCACCACACTCCTTCTACATGCGCACAGCGTCCTACACCCAGTGGTCCCGCACCAGCGTGCCATACCCACCAGTGCTGTGCCCAGGGTGTGCTACACCGAGCGTGTAGTACAACCAGCATCTGCCACCCCCAGCATGTGTTGTCCAGAGTACTATTCATCGGTCATGCCTTGCTGCAAAATATGTGAGGGGATGCCAGCAAGAGAGGCGACTTGGAGGCCGTAGCTTTCGGGGAACCGCCCGTCGGCGAGCTTGTAGGTGAATATGACGGTGTCTTGGTGTATGTTCGCAGCCAGGTGTTGGTAGGTGACGCAGGGGTGCCCTCGTTCTGTAGCAGCAGCACACGAGTGGTCGCAGAGCCAGTTGTGTAGCGGGAAGTGGGTTGCGAAGAGTGTGATGCAGTTGATTTTGTGAGTAATGTATTTAAGAGTAGACGCGGCGAGAATTGTGCCTTCCTTACTATTGGTCCCTCTTCCAAATTCGTCTATTAGGAGCAGAGATCTATGTGTTGCATGTTTAAGCATTTCGAGCACCTCTTCTAGCTCAATGAGGAACGTGGATTTGGACTCGGCCAAGACGTCTCGCAAGCCAACTCTGGTGAATATTCTATCGAAGATGGCCAAGTTCGCTTCCTTCGCCGGAATGGGTAAGCCCATCTGTGCCATAAGTATGAGCAGTGCCAACTGTCTGCTTAGAGTAGACTTACCGCCCATATTGGGTCCGGTAAGCACGATGCTCTTGGTGCCCTGGATCTTGACAGTGTTGGGGATGAATCGCGGGTTAGTGATCATGGCAATAGGGTGGTAACATGTATCCAGAAAAATATGTTGGTCATCGTCCACGAACTGAGGGAAGCACCATGTGTGCAACTCGAGAGCATATGTCGCCATGGACATGAGGCAGTCCAGCTCCGCCACTACCTTGAGCGTGCCGATCACGGCGTCGTTCTTCTGGTGCAGTAGCCGTATCTCATCGGACAACCAGGGATGAAGCGTTAATTCAGCCTCCGTCTCTGCGTTGATAAGCTCATTAACCATCTGCTGAAGAACTTCTTCTTGAAACCTGACATATCCTTTACGTGTGCTCGTCATGACTCCGCCTGCCCTCTGTACCTTCTTCCAATCTTGCTCCGACACCTCCACCTCGTATCGGTACTTACTGTGGATGTAACATCCGCTACACCTTCCGATGCCCAATGTTTTCCAAATTGCTCCCTTTGATAAATAACTTTCTAGCTTATCCTTTAACTTCTGCACCGCCGAATCCTTCTCATCGAAGTCCGGCCATATTCCCGTCTTAGGCCGAAACTCGTTCTTGGATGCAGTTCCACCCCCTACAGACTCGATCCGAACAAGTGAACCTCTTACCACTTCCATGATCAATGCCTCATTATATGTCTCCTTCACCAGGGCAGCCACACGCCCAGTGTCCACCAGATCCGAGCCTCGGTCCTCAAGTGACACTTGAATGCGGTTGATGACGTCATTGATGACTGACAGATCCTTTAGGAACTCAACATAACTACTAATTCTACGTCCTATGGACCTCTCACTGAAGTATACAGCTCCTCGTTCGGATTTCAGTAGATCTCCGGATATCCGACCAAACTGCCGTTCTAAATCCGGGAGCTTTCTCATCATCTGTCCGACCTCACTAACTAAACTTGGACGGTCGATAAGGAACTGAACGGCCCTTTGGCGCTGTTCTATCTGCGGGATATTCAGCAAAGGATAATGGATCCACTGTCTGAGTTGTCTTTGACCCATTACTGTTGCGCACCGATTGATGCACTGGAATAATGATGGAAGCTCGCCAGTCTTAAGATCCTGTTGCACAACACCCTGACCCGCTGCACCACTGGCCCCCTGATGTGTGACGCTACTCGCGATAGGATCCTCCAAGCCAAGAGCCTCAATTGCCACTGCGTCTAAGACCAAATGATTCTTCGTTTCTTCGAATGCATTGAAAGAGCCACACGTGAAAATTCTCTCTGCCAACAATACGTCCTGCAAGTAGAGCCAAAGCTGCTCTATGGCCCTGAAGCCTTCTTTGGGTACATTTGCGATCCATTCCAGAATTTTGATCGACTCATCTTCATTATTGCATTTGAGTAAATACGCTTTCAGAATGTCGTAGCCAACTTGTTCGGAATCTGCAGCGCCAGATGCCGGCTGCACAATAGTAGGTGGGCACGGAAAGCTTTCAATTAATTCTATCGTGGACTTTTTGGCAGTAGTCTTATTCAAAATTACTTCTTTCGGGCACAAGTGACCAAGGACATTGCGAAGATCCCTCTCACTCGGAATAATTGCAAATTGAACATGACAACACACTACATCCACAAACGCCATACCGTATTGACCGTCGTCGGTACTACCATCATTGGTACTACAATTGTTGGTATTACCATCATTGGTACTACAATTGTTGGTATTACCACCATAATATAGAGAAACCAAATACGATGGGAGAGCGCCTAGCATCTTCTCATGTGTTAATGTTCCTCTGGTATATACTTCGCAGACGGATCTCTTGACAGCATTGTCTTGTGTAGCTCCTTGTTGCTTCCTGGTAGACAACTCATCTGGAGTTTCCATCTGCTCCACGACGGAAACAGTAAAGCCTAGATCCACCAGTTGCTTACCGTAATGACAGAGCGATGACTCCGGAAATCCGACATGGGCCTTCTGGTCTTTTCCCATCCACTTTAGACCAAGTATTTCTTGAGCAATAGCAGCGTCTGTGTAAAACAGCTCGTAGAACTTACCGAGTTTAAAGAATAAGATATTGCTAAATGCCTGAGACTTGATATCCCAGTATTGACACATAGCAGGTGTGAAATGCATTCTATCATCGAAACCAGGTTTATTCCCTCCACCGACGACAGTGGGTTTCGTAATGCTTGGTCGGGCGCTTTTTTTGCCCTCACGAGGTCCGGGCCACCAGATACGACCAAAATTAAAGGTTGGATCTTCCGGTGGATGGCCATTAACATCTTTCAGGTACGAGGGATTGATCCAGGATGGGAAATTATAGACATCAGCATACTTGTAGTAAGCAGTAATATATTTCGACCACATTATCTGGTCCTTTAACCTCGGAATTTGGAATAAGTAGTGGTTTAGTAATTCATCGTGTGGCCGCTCTCCTTCACTTCGTTGACGGCTCATGACAGCCATATCAAACGCTACGTTCGCTGTCATGCCCTCCTCCGCTTCCTGGGATTTTATGTCCTCAACCAAACTGTTTAGATAGTGGGTCATTTCCTCATTGTCGTCATTTTCTTCATCCATGGTACTGGTAATATCTAGCTGGTCAATCAGCGCCACAACATTGTCGTCCAAAGGATCATCATACTCCTGAAGCTTCTCATCCAACCTACGAAGAAGAAGTTCGTGCGCGATATGTGTGCGTAATGTGCGCGATTCGTAATGTGCGCGATTCGTAATGTGCGCGATTCGTAATGTGCGCGATGCCAGGTGTTGTGTACAAATAGTCTTTCTTCGGCTTCCTCGGGGCAGCGGGAACTTCCTGAGATATAGTTGGAAGCAGTATCGACTGTTCCTGAGAAGGTGACGACCATTGCCGGTTTTCATCTGTTGTTTGCATTACTTCGTCTATGCTTTTTGCATGCTCCTCTTCCGATGATTCTGCAAATATCAAACTTCGCCTTCGCTTAGCTGTCTTGGTAGGAACTTGCAGCATGTTGTCGGGCGGCCTTTTCTCTGTGGTCGGGCCTCCGTTCTCGCTGCTGCCTTTGTACGATGCAACGCGGTGCTCGCTGTGGGAGCCCGGAGGTTGTAGTACTGTAATGTCGCTCGATGAGGAAGACTGACCTCTATCCGACGGGTCACGTAGCTTGTTTGCAACGTCTTGTAACTTCTCTCCCAACTTCTGCCTCACATCTTCTGGCTTCTCTCCCACATCTTGTGGCTGTTTTTTCGGGCGTTGTGAATACTCATCGAAACCTTGTGGCTTCTCTACTAACGCCCGGCCTAAATCACTGTTTCGCGGCTTGTCTTTGTGCGGCTGGTCATCACGGCGGACTATGCCTCTAGTGGGAGTGAAGAAGGAGAAGAGGTTGGTTTGCATATATTGTTAAAAATGGAGCTTTTTCTGGGCCTCTTCTAGTTCGTAGAGGATAGGTCTGCAGAGTGTGTGTGCATTCATGACCCTGCTCTCCATTTCATATCGCATTAGGCGTTCGAGTTGCTGTTGAATATGTTGAATATTTGAGCGCAGCGACTCCACATTCTTCTCTCGGCTCTCATCGTAAACATAATGAACAAGTTCGGTGACTCTGTCCTGTATTTGCGCAATTTCATCCACATACCGGACCACCGCGGGATCCTTCAACAGCTCCTCTAGCTGTTCTTCGCGAGATGTAGTGGCTGCGGATTGCAGCAATTTGGTGAACTTAACATAACACACTTTACTTACAGTCTCGTTGCTGGTGATGTCGACTTGGGCCTTGTAATCCGCAATTGCTCCTCGTAGACGACTGGCATACTCTGAGCGTTCGATCTTCCTAGCCACGGGAACTCGGGAGACTTGCTGTTTAACTTTATGAGTGCTGCTAGATTTTTCTTCAGATTGCAAATCTGACAGTAGCAAATGCTCTCTGAGTTTCTTACGTCGCAGCTTGGATATCTCAGACCTCACGTTAACAATCGGAGCATCCTCGGCTGTATTGAGACTTGCCTCCAAAGACATCAAAGACGCTATAGCCGCCAACTCGGACTCATCGCCTAGCTCGTAAATTTTGCGCAGTTCGTTCTGGTTTGCTTGCTGCGCGTGTGAGAAATAACACGCCTGGATACTCTGCTGCTGCAGACTACGGCCGGCATGCTTGTTAAAGCGATCTAGCAAGTCGTAGCCTTTTAATCGCGCTTCGCGCGCACGTGTGTCTGCGCGATCTTCGGCGATATTTATATGCGGATTGTCCGGTATGCTCGTGATATCGAGGTCTGCGGGCACAACTTCAGTGGCGACTAGCGTAATTTCGGACTGCACCCTGACGTCGTCTGGATCGTCAAAGTAACTGTCGCCCCCAATGCCTTTGGATGGAGAGCCGGTTAACTGCGCAAAATATCTGCTGCTGAACAACCGGTGCCAGAACTCAGGCTTGTCAAGCTTGCCCCCCTCCACGAGCTCTCTGTAACGCCTTTTTACGTACTCAGACTCGATCAGGAGCGCCGCCAGTTTTTCTTCGTCTTCTACGCTAGTGCCAATTTGGAAAAATGGCTCCTCCAGAGTTGGCAGCGGCAACGTCGCCGTAACCAACGCACCATGCCGAATCCAAAAGGCGTCTTCGGAAATCGTACCTGTTTCCACCAACGACTTGTACGATAAGAACAAATCCGGATGGGACTGTAAAATCGACTGCCGAGCTAACAACGTTTGCTCCTGTTCCGCATGCAATTTGCGCGCCAAAAACTCGTCGCGTCGACTCTGCAGCGCCTGCAGGATCTCCTTATACTTTGCGATGTAACTTTCCTTAGACGTAGTGGCCTTCTTATACAAAATCTCATCTACCTTTACCAGCCATGCTTTGCGCATCTTCAACAGCGCTTCGATAAAAAGATCCAATGCCGCGTCATCCGCGAAGCTTAAAATCAGATCTGCCGCTCGATTCTGCCGCAACTCATTCTTACGCAACTGCTTTACCTGACCCCCATCAAACTGACACTGTACCATCGGCTGCTTCGGATTTCGCCTCTGTCGAAGGAAACTTTCCAAACACCATTCCGACCGGTCCTTTCCTAATCAAACGTACATTGACACGTGCCCAGACCAACCGTCGTCGCTCAGTAGTGGTGACAATAGTCATGATAGCAGTCGTGAGAGAAGCAGCAGCAATCACAACCACGGGTCCGATAACCACAACCACAGACCGGCCATGTTGAAGCGACAGCCGCAAACGAGTGCGAAGAAGCGAACCCACCAAGAAGCGAACTGCGCACACATGTGTGCGAACACACATGTACGAACACAAGTGTGCGAACACAGGTGCCAAATTAGTGGGCGGGCGGAGTCAGCGGTGTGGAGCACCCGGCATACCTTGTACCAGCACAATGAGGCCATTGTCCTCCTCCAGGAGGAGCACGGCGGGGGTCCACTGTTTCTCCCTAAGTGCGAGTTTGAACTGAATACTCCATTGGGACATCCGGACCAATGTATGTGCGCGTACTTCTGGCAGTCGCGGCGGCACTGCGATTTTGTCCGGAAAATTGCGGTGAATACACTCCGGATGGTTGCAACGCGTGCGTCTGTGATCCGGCCGGGCAGCTGGAGCGTTGTACCCGGCGTTTTTGCCGGACGCCGCTGCATCCCCGCGGCCACTGTCTGCGCTGGGACAACACCACGGACCCCTCGCCGGCTCCGACTGATCCCCCCGAACAGTCTTCTGTCCCAAGTCCGGACGACCAGCGTCAGTGTCCCATCCCCAACTGCCGGGTCTTCATGCCCGACCGGTGCAATGAGTGCTATTGCTCGCCCTTAAACCGCGTCGCCTGGTGCACCTCACTCCCCTGCTCCGAACCAGAGTTACACTCCGGGGGCTTACCCGTGCCTTCCGACTCGTCCGTCCCTTCCGAGTCGCTCGTCCCTTCCGAGTCGCCCGTCCCTTCCAACCCGTCCGTCCGTTCGGAGTGGGCCTCCTCGTTCTCGCCCTTGGGGCTATCGTCCTTAGGGGACTCGCGAGCGAGCGACTCGCCCGTGAGGGACTCGCTCGCGAGGGACTCGCCCTTGCCTCTTAAAGGGGGCGTGTCCGGAGACTTTGCTGCGCCTGGGGGTCGTTGTGTGGACTACCGTAGTGCGCCGCCGCCGGGATCTGCGCCGGTGTTCCCGGTGGAGGATGAGGTGGATAGCAGTTCCACTTCGACGACGTCTGCGCCGATGCCACCGAGTACAACTCCGGTTCCGGGTTCGTGTGTGGACCAGACCAGTGCGGACCGGTGTCCGAGTCGTTGTCGCGGCATAGCGTTGCTTTCATGTCAGTTGTGCGGTTGCAGTGCGGGGGGCGAGGTTGAGTGGTGCACACCTTGTCTGCAGAGGTGTGCGAACGCGCGACGTGTGTGCCTAGACCCCACAGGTGTACGCGCGCCACCTCCGCTCATGCGCTGGGACCACAACACCATGGCCAACGTCACCTTTGACATTACACTCGTCCTGCCTGCCACCACACTCTGCCAAGAGTTCCATTTCCAATGCCCCCGCGTTTCCAAAGGCTGCTACTCCTGCCACTGCGCAGCTGACACACGCCGCGAACACTGCCATGTCAACCCCGACTGCTATCACAACCAGCTGGCTGCCGCCTCCTCACTCACCTCCGTCTCCGACCTACTCGCCAGTCTTCTCGACGGCGGCGAAGCACGCTGTCACACACCGCACAAAAAGAAGGCAACACCACCACACAGAGCACGACCACAAGACGCACCAGCAGAAACAAAACCACAGGCCGAACCACAGGCCCCATCAAGAATACAACCACGCCCGACGGAGCCGCGAGCCGAAGTGGTCGGCGGGGGCTGGATGAACCGGCTCACCTACTGGCTCTGCTCAATCCCCGTACCCACGGGAGTCTGTACCTTTATGCAAAACTGACCACAGCCACCTATTCAGTCACCTCGCCTCTGCAGTGCAGTTTCCCCGCCTCTACAGTGCAGTAGTCGTGTCGGTCCAGCCGTCATGACGGTCTAACAGCCATGTTTCTCGCGGCAGTGGCGTTTCCGTGGTGGTGCAGTTGCGCGGGGTGGTGTGGTGGCGGGTGAAGGTTTTTTTGGCGCTCGTAAATGGCAGGTATCCAGTTGCCCCCTCGTCTTCGCAAGGAAGGGCCTTTGAGTGCGATGCCGGTGCCGCTGGCTCGGTTGGAGGAGAGTGAGGTTCCGCGGAGCATTTTGCATGACCCGTTTATGTTCCTGGGTCCGTCTTTGAATCGTTCGAATTGTTCGCGTGTATGTGACTTTACGTATTGGACGGCACAGAAGCAGCAGTTTGTGCAGAAGCCGCGGACGGCAATGGACACGGAGTTTGTGACGGTGGATTCAAAGAAGGTGGCTAGCAAACCGCCGGCGTATAAGAAGAACGTGCAGAACACGTATGTGCAACGGCCGCCGCAGCAACGCAGTTACCAGTCGGGCGGTAAGAAGGACAAGCTGAGTGCGGCTTATCAACGGCCGCAGCCGGTGAACCGGTTCGCGGTAATGCGAGCGCGTGCAGTCGTCGGCGAGTATGCCTGTCCAATTGAGCCCGAATGGGAGCACGTTACGGACGCCTCATTGCAGCTGCTTAACGGGGCGACTATCAACCCGAAGACTGTTCTGTTTGAGGACATCAAGTTCGTCGGCCGCGTTCGGCACTTCAACAAACAGATTGAGCTCATTACGCCGCAAACATCGGTGGACTTGCCGCTCAAGTACACGTCTCTCGGCGGTGGCAACATGTCGCATCATATACCCGGTACACGCGGAGACCCAATTCTGTCCGAGCTGATAATGGACGAAAACGCCGGCGTGCAGGTGATTGTGACCGACCAGCTGCTGAGCACGCTCATGGCGGCGACGCTGTCCAAGTTCGGCTGGCAAATCGACGTCTACAAGTTTGAGAACAAACTGATTTTGGAGAAGTCCGAGCTTACCGAAAATTTGGACCTTCTAACCATCAACGAAAACGTCGCCATAGAGCACATGGGTGACTCCAAACAGCGAGAGGCGGCCAGGGAGTCGGCCCTGATACAGGTTGAGTTCCAGCAGTACGCCCTCACCAGACCCGACGGCTCCGGTCTCGAGAGCATTGCCGCAGTCGGACAGGAGGAAGAAATTGAGTTCGAGGAAGAGTGGCAAGTGCCCGAACGTTTCTACCGGTACCGATATATTACACTCCCGCCCGGACGCCCCATCCCGGGTCACCAAGGTGACCATTGTCGGAAACAGCCCATCAAAATGGCCGTCCGAGGAGAACTGCACTGCGCCCAGACCAATGCCGACGGTGCCGTTGAGGAATACCTCACAGTCCACTCTCTCAATGAAGGGTTGATTAAACTTACTGGGGAACCGTGGGCAAGTGGTCTTGAACGTCAGAAGGGTGCCCTGCTCCTAAGCGAAATGCGCAAGAATAACTGCAAAATGAGCAAGTGGCTCTACGCCAGCATAGTCGCAGGTGCTAACAGCATGAAAATCGGCTTCATATCCAAACGCACAGGTGACAACCGTATCCTCACCGTTCAAACCAGTCGCATTGGCGATCTCGTCGTCCAAACCGGACTCAAAATGGCCAACGGATGGGGCACCATTCGAGAACTACTTGACATCATTCTCAGCGACAACCGAGAAGGACGCTTCATCATTACAAAGGACGCACTCGGCGAAACCATCCGAATTCACCATGTTTCTGTCGAAGTCGAATCCGAAGATTAATTTTTTTGCACCACAAAAACGCTGCCAGACCTAGTGCTTCCGCCACTCGCTTCCCTCAGGCACTCGCTTCCCTCAGGCACTCGCTTCCCTCCAAGGTCGTAACTTGTCAAGCATCCCTTCCATCTGTTGTGGGCTGTCATGCAAAAAAGGAAAAAAAGCCCCAAATTGGATCGAATCCGCCTCATCCCCCAAGACCTGCCTCATCCCCCAAGCTCGGGCCCATGTAGGCGGCACAGTGGACGACACAGTAGGCCAACCAAATTAATTGTAGAAACCGATGTGGCACCGCTGACTCTTTTCTTTCAACTGTTCGTCGATCTGGCCTATACGACCCCCGACGTCACTAGAAACGCTGGCGTTGCTAGAGATGAGATCTAGATAGCGGAGGAGCTCGTCCTTCTTCCAGATGCCTCCTCTTTCAGCGAGGTTGGATGCGTAGTAGACGGGAGCTGGCATGCTGACAGCTCTTTGTGCTCGCTGGAAAAGGTGTGCTTCCTGGTAGATGAAGTGTGCATAGAACATGAGGCGTTCATTGGCGGTCATTTGTTGTAATTGCGGGTCGAAATCCTTAAGCGTATCGCAGTAGACCATGTAGCGAGCAGGGTGTGAAGTTCCCTTGATACCAGCCTGTGAGAGGAGGTAGAAGTTGGGGACGGAAGAGGGGATGGAAAGGTTGTCGAAGACGACTGTGCCAGGAGGCATGTTGGTAGCGTCATTAGCACAGTTCGGAACGAAGAACCGCGTCTGATGAGCCCGGCGGACGGCTATGCAGAGAACCACGGGCAGTGTGAACGATTTTTCACGGTATGCGGCTATGATGGCTTGGATCTCTTGCTGAATGGTCTCATTCAGCATTCCGTCGCTAACGCCATCTCGGAAGAACACGATACGTTTCGGCCAGTTAGTCGTCCCGTTCATCTCAGCCCGCTTCTCCAGCACCTCCCGGACCATGTCTGTGAGTCTGCCGCACACGTCAAAGTTACCCGCCGAATTCTCACAACGTACGGTGTGTGCGAAAGTCACGCCATCTCGGTCCATTGAGCAGACCAAGGCTGAGATCACTGGGATCAGCTTCCTTCCGTCTCTAAGCCGAGGCGCTTGTGCGCGAAGGTTGGAGAAAGCGAGAGCCATGATGGCTGTGTCTGTCTTGCTTCCAAGCATTTGTTGCACTGCTCGAACCTCCACCGCGGCGTGATTGATCTTGTGGCACACGCCTCCTAACTTTTGATTAATTTTGCTTAAAATATTTGCCACGTGACCCTCCATTCCGCGATCTTTCCTGTTGATTATAGGGGTTTTGAATGTTGTCAGCACCTGTGTCGTAATCATACCATCAAACGTGCCCTTAATATCCGCGTAAAGAGCTGTATTTTTCTCTCGAATGAATACGAACAAAATATCCAGTGAATTTTGCTTTAGTAGATTCTTAAGCTTATCAGCACGTGCCTGTAGATCAGACGGACCACTACATATCCAAGTAAACTCCGGTCGGGACGGGAAGCGCATGTTGTACTTGTTGGATTCCCTGCTCATGGTATCAAAAAAGTCTCGTACTAAATTGTCGTCAACTCTGCAGCTGTAAATGATCGCGCCATAATGCTGAACATTCTTCGGCTCGATAAACGCACACTGCGACATGTTCCATCTGCCCTGGCCTACCTGGACACCCATGGTCTGACCCTTCTTGCCACGCACTCCATACATCAGATTCGGAGGTCGTATTACCTTTGCCGCAATGAGCATCTCCTTCTTGCTCAACTCAATTCCGAACCGCTTGAGCACCGGGTTGTTAACAAAGTGCTTTGATACAACACTGTTAATGTACCGAATACGCTGTCCAGGTGGCATCGTCATGATCTCACCAATACGGGCTTTCACAGCCTCATTCACCATTTTGTTAACCGATTGCTGACATACTTCGAGAACCTCAATAGGATAGTAAACTTTTTTTCCACCTACCTTCTCCATCAAGGGCGCGTCAGGGTAACGCAGACGGATGTTGTATGTGTCTGCAAAGTACTTGGTGACCGTAGTCTTCTGGCCGTTCTTTCCTTCGAACTCGTAGCTATTCGCGGTCTCGTCAGATAAGCCCTTCAATTTAAATGGCTTATAGTTCAAATGTGTTGTTTTGATCTGCAGGCCTTTTACACATTCGCGAATCATCATTTTCTTACGGTCATCCAACGGACCTCGATCATTGACACGAATGTCGGTCGACTTGAGGATGTATTCTGTCAACGATTGAGACTCGAGTCCCATGGCAGAGGCCGCATTGATGCATAGGGTCAGCTTATATCCTTTTTGGCTGGTCGTCTGACCGCTCTGAACGACGGAAAGGGTCTGGCTGTGACCCTTCCAGAGCTTCTGTGCGCCTAGATTTAACGACTCCCGAGTATTGTCCAAGTCGACAAACGCATCCGGGTCATCGGTAGGCATAAACAAACGGTTGTTCTTCGTGTAGTTATTTACACGCGCTGCCTTCTTCATCAGGATGTCAAACAGTTGCTCCTCTTCCCTAACTGTCTCCGTCGCTCCGCCCGCTTCGTATTTGGTGTACGCTCGACGTAGGTCAAGCGGTTCACCCTGCGGTAGCACTGACAGCATCCACTCAATCTTGGCGTGGGTCAGTCGATCATCAATGCGGATCGGCTTTAGGTCGGCCGGATAGTACAAGATCCTATCCGCGTCATACAAAACATCACCCCAGTCTATGTTCTTCTCCTTAAGCGACCGCTGCAAACACATGACGCGCGAGTCGGGCTCCATCGTATATGGCAAATCCGACATCGCCGTAAATTCAACCAAGTGCTTCTGCAACAACACCTCCTTTTCCGGCAGGACCACCTCATAGTGGTTCGTTGATGTTTGCGTGTCTCCGTATACGTCGTGTACGGGCGCCGGGCCGCGTCTATCACCTCCGCCGCCTCTGTAACCTCCGCCGCCACGGCTGTCACTGTAACGACCACCACCCCCACCACCTCCGCCTCCGCCTCGACCACCTCCATACCCACCACCCCCTCCGCGATCGCCTCCATACCCACCACCTCCTCCGCGATCGCCTCCATACCCACCCCCGCCTCCACCTCGCCCACGACCGCCACCGCCGCCGCCACCGCCGTACCCACCGCCGTTGCGATCACCGTAGCCTCCGCCGCCGCGATCACCGTAGCCGCCCCCTCCACCGTAGCCTCCACCACCGCGACCACCACCTCCTCGGCCACCACCGTAACCTCTACCACGACCACTCATGTAATTTTCGTCTAGGAATTTCTTTTGATCTCTCCACCACTCTCTAGGAGACACACAGGACACGATGGCCATTAACCCTGTTGAGAACTCACTGCTGGAGAACGCGTTAGCACCTAGGCGAGCAGTGGTGGAAAGCATTCGTACGTGACAGATGGTCGTTCTGTGAGAACGAAGAGAAGGAGATGCAACAACCGACCATGCAGCCAAATTGGCCATTGACAGTTATTCTGCGCAAATTGCGGCAGGAAGGGCCATACCGACCGTGCGTACCGTAAAAAAGTTTGAGCGGGAAGGACGAGGGCCGTAGACAACCGCCCGGGGGCCATCAAGGCCAAGTCCCTCAACAGTCTTGCCCACGACTATCTCCAACTGCAAGTCAACCGCAAGTGCAAGTGAAACAAGAGACCGGGGACGGTCACACGCAGAGGCTGCCAGAGCCGACGTGCGAGGAGGATACGCCTAGTGACGAGTGACTATCTGGTGGTAATGAACGCACCGACTTGGGGTCGGCATCACTAAGCCGGCACAAGGCTACAGCACTAAAGGTAAGCATCAACGGGCCCCCCGGACACGGGAGCTTAATAATCGACACCAGTACAGGTGAGATATGAGGCAAACTTCCAGGTCCAGGGCCGACCGACGAAAGCGATGCCATTGCCGCGGGCCGCTGAGGAAGAGCTCAGACGCCAGGTAGACTCCCAGCTTTCAAAAGGCGTCATACGTCCGAGTAAATCGCCGTGGAGCTCTCGTCCACTCGTGATGCCGAAGAAAACAGGCGACTGCCGGGTCGTAATAGACCATCGGCAAGTCAATAAACAGAGCTTGATGACGCGTTCCCTATTCCCCTCCTCTGGGATGATCTCCGAAAGACGTCCGGCCATTCCTACTATATTGCTCTCGACTGTAGCTGGGTCTGGAATGTTCCCATCAGCGAAGCGTGTAAGCAATACACCGCATTTTGTACCCCTTGGGGACGGTTCGAATTCAACGTTGTGCCCTTCGGCATCAGAAACTCGCCGAGAGAGTCGACGAGGAGCACGATCAGGACCTCGATGCTACGCACATCAATAATCGACCGTTTGCAGTCCGCTTCGTCGCGATCAGCCAGAACCTATTCCAGCTACCGCCACGCGACGAGTTCCTTGTGAAGGACGACGACATCCCCGTGGATGACCTTCTAAAAAGAGATGGCGGCCTCTACGAACACCGTAAGACCAAAAAATTGTACGTCCCGACTCGACTTAGGTCTAAGCTGACTGCTTGGTACCACGGTCCAAGGGGTTCGTACAGCACTTCGTACAAGAGTGCGCTACCTGCGTCCGCAATTCCCGTGCGTGGCTTGCCGCGGGCACAGGAAGACAAGTTGAAGCAGCCGTTCTTCATGAGTAGAGTAAGCGTGGATTATGTGGGCCCTGGAGCATTCCAAGGGCAGGAATAATGCGTCCTTGTGTGCATAGACCACGGTCTGCCCAGCAGCGATCTTCTTTGATGGCTTGGCTAAACCGGAACTGGGTCGACCCAGCTTGCTTCGGCAAGGCGAGGGCTGCTCTAGCATGTTCCAAGAGACTCAGCTATTGGTCAACCATCTTAGACTGTACCGCGACTCGCTCTACCCAGGTTGCACCGAAGTAGGTTGCTTGCCCGACTATCTCAGCCATCGCCTGGAGGCACACCAGGACGTTCTCAGCCTACCGGGCCAATTGGCTACTCACCTGTTGGCTTCGCACTTCTCGACTCTATATACCGAGGGGGTTGTTGCGTCGTATGAACGCCGCCCTGCGTCCCCGCACGCACGACGTCGCCAGACAATACGGTTGCCCGCACACAAAACGAACAGACGATTTTTATAAAACTCGGATCAGATACTCACGCCTCCCCTCTACGATGTCACAGCCCACGAGCCCTTCGCCTAGTAGCCACGAGTCCCACATACAAACCAGTTGTTCCTAAGTTCATACTCGACGATGCGTTGAGCTTCGAGCGATCCTTGCTGTTCAGTCCGAGTGGAGACACCGGGCACATCATCCAGAGGTTGCTAGAAGGTCAGTCTGTCTATCTGTGAGGTCGAGAGCACAGCCCCACCCAGAACCCTCAGGGATCTGAGATCGTCAACCGTCTTGCCCGCGCCGGAGGAAACCTCCTGCTCACGATACCGAAGTTCCGACTCTCACTTGAGAGATATGTCGTCCCGACCATCGATATCAGTCACAGAGAATACGTTCCGTTTACGTCACGAGCCGTGGTTCCAATCCTGCCGGTTACTTGAACTCGCCTACATCGTGGTCCGTCGTTCGAAGCTTCGTCCGGAGAACACCCCTGGCGGTCCGGCCGTGATTTGCACACGAAGGAAGATCCGATATCCAATTGCCGCCCGAAGTCGGCTATTGGATATCGGATCTTCCTTCGTGTGCAAATCACGTCACGTACGTACGTAGACAGGAGAATGAGGATTCACCCGACTTCGGGCGGGTGAATCCTGTCTACGTACGTGGTCTGACTCCAGTCGAACCCCTGTCGATCCTCAATCGCTATTCCACCAATCTGCCGAGTGTCCCGCGACCTCTATACCGTGCTGATGTCCGTTGTCGTTCCTAACCATTCGTATCTACGCCAGTGGTTCCCGAGTCTTATTAGGATGTTGCCTGTCGGGGCCGGGATGAGAGTCCCTACCACGGCACTTGTAGCACTGGTTTATGATGAGCGCGCTTCTGTACGAGCCAATGCATGGAGACCCCGTGTGCCAATCCCGCAAGACACAGGACTCGAAGACGATGAAGCGCAGAACGGTCCTTTGGAGTTGATCCAAGAGGTTGCATTCGACCTGATCGGTCGACGATCCGACAACTGTGAGATAGAAACTGTTTTACGAAATGTGAACAGGTGCATCTGGACCATAGGACCTTACCCTGATTGGGCTGATGAGCGAGCGAAAAGGTTGTGGTCCCCAATACTGGGGATCAAGTCTTTGTTCGTCTCACTCTCAGTGATCGATGAGCAAGTCCTTGGCGTAACCTAACTGAGCGCTGGACGAGATCGGCAGGATAAGCGGCAGACAAGTCTGTCCGTATACCGTTTCGACTACTCGTCAGCCTGTGGTTGAGGTACGGTTAAGATTCAGGCTTTCGCCATCGGTGCTCAAATGCGTTCACCCGTAAATGCGTTGTTCTTCACACGTGTCTTCACAGGGTGGTCTCCACGGAATCCACGAAGGCTTCTCTAACGACCTCGATCCGACGAGGTAGCATACGAGGTAGAAGTTCGGGCACGGCACCAGTCAGATCATCTGACTGGTCTCCGTCATGGTGACGGAGCGAGCAGGCCATGGTGACCACTATCGGAGAGACTGTCCACGCTGATGTATACGGTTATCGCTACGCAACCATAGCGCAACAAAAAATTATTACCTTTGAGACATAACACTAAGTCGTGTGCGAGGTCACTCAACGGCGGTACGTACTGTAGGGGTTTATGCATAGGGCTTTGTGACTGCTTTCGTTTGTGCCGTTGCTCCTTGGCACGTACGTTTGTGCCGTTGCTCCTTGACACGTACGGTGGTGACTTTACGATATCCACCCGTAATACTTTTGTTACGAACGCTGCAAACGCGCCTTCGAACTCACTGCCGTTGTCTACATAGACCTGCCGCGGCACACCGAAGTACGCAACGAACCCTTGTGCAAAGGCGTCAGTTATCACCTGCGCTTCTTTGCTTTGGATCACTCGGGTTACTAGGAACCGTGTTGCTGCATCTATAATCACAAGTATGTAGTGGGTGTTGCCTTTGAACATGCGTGGTCCGATCAGGTCTAGGCTGACTCTGTCGAGAAATGACGCCATTGCTGACGTTCCTACCGTCTTTCTGTTGAGTGTTTTTGTTGGCAGGTATCGCGTGCATACGAAGCAACCTTTG